ACGATATTACAACACCAAACAAGAACAAGAGTTCATCAGCTAAGAAGGTCATATTGCGCAAGAGTTACATTATGCAAGGATGACATCTAACATTGATGACATCGTACAAGGATCATATGTTGTAGTGTGCTGATGTGCTGTGTTAATGTGCAGACAGTTGTTGCTAGTGTTGGTGTGTTGTGGTGCTGTGTTAGTGGGCGGACAGTTGTTGTTAGTGTTGGCATGTTGGTGTGGTGGATATGCAGTTGGACCGCCAGTTAGAAAACTCGTAATGCTTTCCGAGCGAGTATGGGTAGAAATTACTCTTCAGTTTCTCTAGGGCTAATGAAAGGAGTTTATATTTTTCAAATCCCAGACGAATGGTTCAAGCTATGATTAATCTGGCTGCACCATTAGATAGAGTGTGTTGAATTCTGCTTCGAACACAAATTGGAACAGTTGAGAGTCGTTGAGACCAAATATGGTCTGAAGTTACTGCTTGGCTTTCCTAAAGAAAGAGAAGAATCAGTATGCTGGAACTTGCACTGAAATTGACTGCGCTGTTGTGAATTGGTTTCCACCATTGGGCAGAGCATGTTGAATTCTAATTGGAACATTAATGAGAGGTATTAGAACAAGTTCTGAGCTGATATGGACACGAATTATTCTCCGATGGCATTAGGGTCAATGAAGAAAAATTGGTATATTCATAAGTCGTGAACAAATGGTTTCAAATATCGTTTATCTTTTTTTACTATTGGATAGAGCATGTGAAATTCTATGTGTAGCACAAATAGGACCGCTGAGATCGCGTCTTGAGCGAATATGGGCATGGAATACACTGGAGATTCCCTAAGACGCATGAGGAATTCCAGTGATTTTGTAAGTATACACGAATGTTTAGAGATATTGTCAATCCGAGTTGATTATTTGATAGAGCATGTGGCAATCTACATGCGACAGAAGTTAGAACACAGAGATCGCTTTCAGAACTAATATCACTGGAGTTGCTCTGCAAGTCTTATGTGATGCATGGAGAAAAATCAGCATTTTTGGAATTGTATATGAATGGTTGAAGGTATCGTTAATCGGATTCTACCATTTGAGAAAGTGTGGTGAGTTTCCCTGGGTACGAAAATGAGAGCACCTTGAAGGTGACCCGAGTGGATATGAACATGAAATACTCTGGCAGGTTGCATAGAAACCATGTGGAAAAATCAGTGATTTTGAAATTGTACACGAATAGTTCGGGGTATCGCCAATCCGACTTTAGTGTTCCATAGAGCATATTGAACTTTATGTGCGACAGAGATGAGAATAGTTGTAACGTGTGTTGAGCGAATATAGATAGGAGTTACTCTGCGAGTGATCTAATGCCTATGGGGAAATATCAGCATTCTCGAAATTGTACATGAAGAGTTGATGTTATCTTTAGTACAATATCACCATCGAATAGAGCATGTTGAATTTTGCTGGGAATAAGACTGAGAGCACTTGGAACGCGTTCTCAGCGATTTCGAGCGAGAATTATTTTCGGGTTCCTAGGATCTAAGCAAAAGGGCAGTATTTTTCAAATTGTACACGAATGGTTGACAACATCATTAATCCGATTTCACCATTCGAGAGACCATGCCCAATTCTTCGTGCCACAGGAATAAGAACTCTTGGGACGTTTCTCGAGGAAACATGAGCTGGAATTACTGTGATAGTTTCCTTCAGCCCATCGATAAAAATCAGAATTTTCAAAATCGTACACGAATGGTTTAAACTATCGTTTACCAGAGTTCACCATTGGGTAGAAAATGTTGAATTCTACTTAGAACACATTCTGAGCAAATATGGGCGGCAATTGTGCGCCGTGTTCTTTAGAGCACATGGGAAAAAGCACTGGTTTTGAAACTGCACACAAATGGTTCAAGATATCGCCAGTTCGATTCCGGTATTCGGTAAAGCATGCTGAATTCTACTGGGAACACGACTGAGAGCACCTGAGACTCGTCGTCAGCGATTATGAGCATAAATTATTTCTGGATTCTCAGGTCTAAGCGAACAGTCAGTATTTTTAAAATTGTACACGAATGGTTGGAGGCATCGTCAATCCGATTTGAGTATTCGATAGAGTAGGTTGAGTTCTACGTGCGATGGAAATGGAGCGCTTAGTTGTTAGGCTCTCGTTTGGAGGGAAAGGTGACTTCTGCCCCAGACTACAACTCAGGGCGGAATACTATGTCAAAAGCCCAGGTCTGCTCTGGGAACGAGAACACAAACGTGAAATAATAGAAAAGACTTACCTAGTCTTGATATAATGAATGAGGATGCATATAGGGATGTATGAGGTTTTATTCACAATAAAACCAAAAAGACAATATAATAATGATGATGGGGATGAAAGACATAAAGAGGAAAACAATAACAAGATCAATAACAAGATCAACAAGAAGGAAGATGGAATAGGGAATGAATCATGTGAGAAAAGGAAAACGAATAAACACTGGATAGTCCATGGAAAATATATATATGTATATATATCTATATATAGAGGAAAGGAAAAGACCCATAGTGTACAACTGGACGTTAGCGGTAATAGAGTGACCTCTATTGACGCTAACATTAGTACACATCCTAAGTGAATATGGGCAGAAATCACTCTGTGAGTTGCCTGGGATTCTTTGGAGAAAATTAGTGTGTTTGCAATTTGTAATCGAATGGATTAAGCTATCGTCAGCTGGATTTCACCATTGGATAGAGCATGTTGAATTATACGTGCAACAGAAATAAGAACAGTTGGAATGCGTCCTGAGCGAATATGGGCTAGAATTACTCTCCGAATTCCCTAGGGCCAAAGAAAAACATCAATTTTTTTCAACTTCTAATCGAATGGTTTAAGATATCATCAATCCATTTTCGCGATTGAATAGAGCATATTCAATTCTACTTGGGTTATCAATGTAAGTACGTGGCAGGCTTTGCGAACGGATATAGGCTATAGTTACTCTGTGAAAAGCCGAAGACCAAGGGAGAAAGTCAGTCTTGTGGAAAGTGTACACGAATCGTTAGAGGTATTATGAATCCCCTTTCTGCGTTCGATAGAGCATATTGAGGTGTACGTGTATAAAAACTTAGAGCATTTGAAACGTTTTCTGAGTGAATATAGGTAGAGTTACTGCGTGGATTCTCTAGAACCGATAAGGAAAAATCAATATGTTCGAAATGATACGCGAATGTTTAAGTTATTAGAAATCCTATTTCAGTATTTGATAGAGCATGTCGAATCCTACTTGTGACAAAAATGAGAATGCCGAAAACGCTCCTAGCATGAGTATGGGCAGGAATTACTCAAATCTGGTGCTAACTTCACCTACACAGTAATGAAGGATGTGCGATGTGAGAAAACTGAACACCGACTGACACCGACACTGATGCTCACTGAACACCGATATGTCCACTGATACTGATCACTGATTTACTGACATCATCAGTGTCAGTGATGAATGGTTCTCGGTGACTTCACTGACATATTGATGATGATTACTATTAACTATACTTCATAAGCGGAGTATGATGACATCTTTCGGACAAAATATCTTAATACATGGGATGTTCCCATTGGGCGATAGACTATATAGGCTGAATAGCTAAGCTTATCAAATGTATTTGTTACAACTGACTCTACTTAATGTTAAATTCTATTAAAGAAAAAACGAAATATATTTTGTTTATCACTGTATGGTATACGCGATGCCCTGTATATCTTTTTTCCAGCATCTGTCCTTGCATCTTTTTCTTTCTTCTTTTCTGCCGGCGTTCACTGATTTTTCTCCTTCACTTTTCCAGGTTCTTCAACCTTCTTCAATACCATTCGATATTAGAAACGAATATCTTCGAGATTCTCTCTTTTGTTAATCATATTACGCAGTTTGAAAAGAAAAAATGGAACGACAGTCATATTTTCATTTTTTCTTTGATCATTTCAGCCGACACATCGGATTATGCAGCTAAAAAATGAAACGAAAGTGCGTGACTTTGTTCACTATGTTCACCGGCAGTACAATGTTTTTTTAGATATTTTTTTTTATTTTGAAATTTTATTGTTAAAATCCAATTGATTATACACTTAATTGAAATTGTTTTACTATTGATTAACACTTTGAATCTGCTGTTCATGTAATTTTTTTGCACATATTCATGTTTATTTATTATGTTTTCTATCTTCTAGCTATTTAATTAGTTTTTAACATTTGCAACATTTATCAAAGTTCAATAAATCATCAATTACTTTATATTCATATTCAAATGTCATTCAAGACAACATAAGATTAAAATAGTTTCTCGGTCAATTTTAGTCGATCTTACGGATTGTACAATTGTAGATCGATTGAACAATCAAAATAATGTTAATAGTAAAGATTCGAATCCAACACATTTATTTTTATCTAATACAACAACAGCATGTGAACATGCATACTCCTAGTTCTGCATCAGGTGAAGCTCTTAATGATGATGCTCATTACATCAATAGCTATAACAAGAAATTGAAAGTTGCAAAAAATAAAGCCGTAGCATTATCAAGAAATAACGATGATTTAACTACACCAATATCGACACAATCATCACAAGTATGGCAATATGCCATACGTTGTCAAAATTCTAATTTTTCAATTTGTTGTTTATGTCCAAATGATAATAAAATTTCAATAAACAATGGGTGGATATCGACTTTATGTAGACATTTGATTACAAAATATCAACTACATGAATTAACATTACTAAGTAATGAACGTAAAAGAATCTCTTCATCATTCAGTAGCAATACAAAACAAAAATTTATATGAATTGTTCACCAAATGTGTAATACATGATGGGAGAACATTTAATGATTTTCAGAAACCCGGATTGAAACAAATTTTACAAGAACTCATTCCAGGTTAGTTTACTAAATAAGTGACTGATATTTATTTGAATTAGTACTTTCTCAAATAGTATATTAACAGATAGTAAATAATGAAATGAACACACTGATAATTTATGTCAGTTTATTCGTTATTAAATCTGTTTTTTTCTTATAGGTTATGAGCCTCCAAGGCGATTCTCAGTAACTCGTCATTTAAAACATCTTTATAAATTTCATGTTAAGAAACTAATTGATGATTTAGCATTAATTGATGATATTTCAATAACTCTGGATCTATGGAGCAATAAACAGATGCGATCATTCTTAGTAATTACTGGTCACTTTTTTTCAAAAAAATAGTTTTGACTTACAGTCTACGATTTTAAATTTTTCAACATTTAATGTTCATCATAAATATATTGATATTCTTCAAGTATTACAAGAGAAGTTAAAGGAACTTAATATATTACACAAGGTAGTTAGAGTGACTACTGATGACGGTCGAAATGTAGTACGTGCTATTCATGACCTGCACTTGAATTTAAAGCGTGTATGGTGTGTTGCACACCGACGTCATCTTTCTGTTACAAATGCATTTGGATTTTGAATCGTGAAGAAAGAAGATAATGAAAATGGTTCAAGTGCTTTGGGACAAGGTACTAAGCAACTATTTGATATTTAATATTTTACAGTCTGATTAAACTTAAAAGGACTGAATGAATAAAATAAAAGGAAAAAGATTTAAATCAGATCATTAGTATTCGATTTTTTAACTGCCTTATTTCAGCAAATAAAAATTCTGATATTTCATTGCAATTGACTACTTTCTAGGAATATACTATAAATAATAATCAAACCAATTAGTATTCGATTTGCAGGTCTTCCATTGCTTTATTTTAGCAGCTATCACAGAGAGACTTGGTGATTATTCAGCCTTTCAATTCGTATATATATAATATTGATGAAATGTCTCACAAATACAAATATTTGTAATTTTTCTATTTTTAAAGTCATATTTTTCTTTTGCTTAGATAATTTGAATAACAGGCTGAATGATTCAGAACAGAAGGTAACAAATATTGAACAAATAGACAATAATGATGATATTATTGAACCCGGTGAACATGATGAAATCATTATAAATATTGCTGGTGATGAATCATCGGAAATATTTGATTCGAACGACGAAGAACAATTATTATTTGATAACAGTGATGAAGAATGCGTGGATGATTGGACAACAGATGTTATTCAATCAGATTATGATACTGTTCGTAAACAAAATATGATTTTATTTGTATTGAAAAAATGTCGTGGTTTAACGTCAATGATTAAACGATCAACAATTATTACATTATATTTTGATGCTGAACGAAAAAAATATTAAAAGATCGAACCTTATGTTATGATGTTAAATCATGTTGGAACAGTCCATTTTGTATGATTAATTCATTTATTATTCTTCGTGAAATTGTTCAAAACTTACTTAGTCAGAAGCACCAATTGAAGATCACACAGCAACACGTTAAAAAATAAGCTGCATACGAATTAACAAGTGGTGATTGGAATGTTTTGTCAGTATTACACTCGATTCTTAAACCATTTTATCTTGCCACCAAAGCAATATCTGGTCGTCAATATCCATCCATTGGATTGGCTTATTATTTACTTATGCGACTGAAACATTTTTTAGAATAGCACGACAACAAAGAAAGTTTATTAGAAAAACGACTTAAACAACTATCATTGAAGGAATTTTTGTATTATTTTGACAGTGAAGATGAACAAATGAAATTATTAAAGATAAGTGAATAAGATTTATACTACTGTTGGTGTCCATCTTTGCTCAGATTTTCTTAGTTACATAATTCCAATTATTAAAAAGAACATTGAGCCACTACTTGTGTAACCAAGAAAGCACTTTTCTGTTAAAGTTTAGAAGCAAAACACATATTATCAACTAAAAAATATCATATTCAAATATTGAACTAACTACATAGAGTAACAAGCAAGGTTGTTTTTGCAGAGAGTAAACATGAAAATTTTAAAGAAATTTAAAATTAAAACCGTATGTCTTTTCCATAGTTCGTTGTTTTATCGTAAATAATTATAGAAGCAATTAGTCGTTTTGAAAATCCTAATCGACCTATTGTTTGTACTGTTAGTTGCATGCGTATTTCGATCCTGCAGGAGTTGCAGCATTAACTGAAATTGAAAAACGTTCAGCTGAACAAAACATT